AGGACTGTTTTGCTAGCACAGACTGGAATATGTTCTGGGATTCATCCAATGGCATTGAGGAGTATACCACCTCAGTCATCGGCTTCATCAATAAGTGCATCGACGACGTTGTCCCCACAGTGACCGTACATACATATCCCAACCAGAAGCCATGGTTTAAAGGCAACATCTGCACTGAGCTAAAGGCTAGAGCTGCCGCTTTCAAGGAGCGGGACACTAATCCGGACGCTTATAAGAAATCCCGCTATGCCCTCAGACGAACCATCAAACAGGCAAAGCGTCAATACAGGACTAAGATTGAATCCTACTACACCGGCTCTGACGCTTGTCGGATGTGGCAGGGCATGTAAACTATTATGGACTACAAAGGGAAACCCAGCTGCGAGCTGCCCAGTGACGCGAGCCTACCAGACGAGCTAAATGCCTTTTTATGGTCGCTTCGAGGGAAGCAACACTGAAGCATGCATGAGAGCGCCAGCTGTTCCGGACGACTGTGTTATCACGCACTCCATAGCCGATGTGAGCAAGATCTTTAAACAGGTCAACATTCACAAGGCCGCGGGGACAGATGGGTTACCAGGACGTGTACTCAGAGCATGCGCAGACCAACTGGCAAGTGTCTTAACTGACATTTTCAACCTCTCCCTAACCGAGTCTACCTACATGTTTCAAGCAGACCACCATAGTCCCTGTGCCCAATAAAGTGAAGGTAACCTGCCTAAATGACTACCGCCCCGTAGTACTTCGGTAGCCATGAAGTGCTTTGAAAGGCTGGTCATGGCTCACTTCAACACCATCATCCTGGAAACCCTAGACCCACTCCAATTCGCATATTGCCCCAACAGATCCACAGATGATGCAATCTCTATCGCACTCCACACTGCCCTTTCCCAGCTGGACAATAGGAACACCTATGTGAGAATGCTGTTCATTGACTACAGCTCAGCGTTTAACACCATAGTGCCCACAAAGCTCATCACTAAGATAAGGACCCTGGGACTAAACACCTCCCTCTGCAACTGGATCCTGGACTTCCTGATGGGCCGGCCCCAGGTGGTAAGGGTAGACAACAACACATCTGCCACGCTGATCCTCAACACTGGGGCCCCTCAGGGGTGCGTGCTTAGTCCCCTCCTGTACTCCCTGTTCACCCACAACTGCGTGGCAAAGCACGACTCAAACACCATCATTAAGTTTGCTGACGACACAACAATGGTAGGCCTGATCACCGACAACGATGAGACAGCCTATAAGAAGGAGGTCAGAGACCTGGCAGAGTGGTGCCAGGACAACAACCTCTCCTTCAACGTGAGCAAAACAAAGGAGCTGATCGTGGACTACAGGAAAAAGAGGGCTGAACACGCCCCCATTCACATCAACGGGGCTGTAGTGGAGGGGGTCGAGAGTTTCAAGTTCCTTGGTGTCCACATCACCAACAAACTATCATGGTTCAAACACACCAAGACAGTCGTAAAGAGGGCACGACAACACCTTTTCCCCCTCAGGAGACTGAAAAGATTTGCCAATGGTCCCCAGATCCTCAAAAAGTTCAACAGCTGCACCATCGAGAGCATCCTGACCGGTTGCATCACCGCCTGGTATGGCAACTGGTCGGCATCTGACCATAGGCGCTACAGAGGGTTGTGCATACGGCCCAGTACATCACTGGGGCCAAGCTTCCTGACATCCTGGACCTATATACTAGGCGGTGTCAGAGGAAAGCCCAAAAAATTGTTGAAGACTCCAGTCACCCAAGTCATAGACTGTTCTCTCTGCTACCGCATGGCAAGCGGTACCGGAGCGCCAAGTCTAGGACCAAAAGGCTCCTTAACAGCTTCTACCCCCAAGCCATCAGACTGCTGAACAATTAATCAAATGGCCACCCGGACACCGCCCCCCTTTGTTTTTACACTGCTGCTACTAGCTGTTTTATTATCTATGCATAGTCACTTTACCCCTACCAACATGAACAAATTACCTCGACTAACCTGTACCCCGGCACATTGACCTTGTATATAGCCTCATTGTTATTTTATTGTGTTACTTTTTATTTAAAAAAATTATTTAGTTAATTTAGTAAATATTTTCTTAACTCTATTTCTTGAACTGCATTGTTGGTTAAGGACTCGTAAGCATTTCACATCACCTGTTGTATTCGGTGACAAATACAATTTCATTTGAATTGGCTTTTAGTCTAGGCCTCCACAATGGATTAGTTCACTGAGATGGGCACATACAGTGCATTCAGAAAGTATTCAGAACCCTTGACTTTGTCCACATTTTGTTATGTTACAGCCTTATTCTAAAATGGATTAAATTTGTTTTTTTCCTCATCAATCTACACACAGTACCCCATAATGACAAAGAAAAAACAGGTTTTTAGAATTTTTTGATTTTATTTTTAAGTATACAGACCCTTTACTCAGTACTTTGTTGAAGCACCTTTGGCAGCGATTACAGCCTTGAGTCTTCTTGGGTATGACACTACAAGCTTGGCACACCTGTATTTGGGGAGTTTCTTCCATTCTTCTCTGCAGATCCTCTCAAGCTCTGTCAGGTTGGATGGGGAGCGTTGGTGCACAGCTGTTTTCAGGTCTCCAGAGATGTTCGATCGGGCTCTGGCTGGGCCACTCAAGGACATTTAGAGACTTGTCCCGGAGCCACTCCTGCGTTGGCTGTGTGCTTAGGGTTGTTGTCCTGTTGGAAGGTGAACCTTCGCCCCCAGTCTAATGTCCTGAGGGCTTTGGAGCAGGTTTTTATCAAGGATCTCTCTTTACTTCGCTCCGTTCATCTTTCCCTCGACCCTGACTAGTCTCCCAGTCCCTGCCGCTGAAAAACATCCCCACAGCATGATGCTGCCACCACCATGCTTCACCGTAGGGATGGTGCCAGGTTTCCTCCAGACGTGACACTTGGCATTCAGGCCAAAGAGTTCAATCTTGGTTTCATCAGACCAGAGAATCTTGTTTCTCTTGGTCTGAGACTCCTTTAGGAGCCTTTTGGCAAACTCCAAGCGTGCTGTCATGTGCCTTTTACTGAGGAGTGCCTTCCGTCTGGCCACTCTACCATAAAGGCCTGATTGGTGGAGTGCTGCAGAGATGGTTGTCCTTCTGGAAGGTTCTCCCATCTCCACAGAGGAACTCTGGAGCTCTGTCAGAGTGACCATCGGGTTTTTGGTCACCTCCCTGACCAAGGCCCTTCTCCCCTGATTGCTCAGTTTGGCCAGGTGGCCAGCTCTATGAAGAGTCTTGGTGGTTCCAAACTTTTTCAATTAAGAATGATGGAGCCCACTGTTTTCTTGGGGACCTTCAATGCTGCAGAAATGTTTTAGTAACCTTCCCCAGATCTGTGCCTTGACCCAATCCTGTCTCGGAGCTCTACGGACAATTCCTTCGAGCTCATGGCTTGGTTGCTCTGACATGCACTGTCAACAGTGGGACCTTATATAGACAGGTGTGTGCCTTTCCAAATCATGTCCTATCAATTTAATTTACCACAGGTGGACTCCTATCAAGTTGTAGAAACATCTCAAGGATGATCAATGGAAACAGGATGCACCTGAGCTCAATTTCGATTCTCATAGCAAAGGGTCTGAATACTTATGTAAATTATGTATTTCTGGTTTTGCTAAACCTGTTTTCGCTCTTTCATTATGGTGTATTGTGTGGAGATTGGTGATTTCTATGTACTTAATCCATTTTAGAATAAGGCTGTAACGTAATAAAATGTGGAAACGGGGAAGGGGCCTGACTACTTTCCGAATGCAGTGTATATCTCGGTCTACCAACAGCCTATTGACCAAACAATTGACCTGTTGACTAATTGGGGTCAGCCCTAGTGGCACTATGTATTGGGAATGATTCACTGTATTAACTTTTTTTTACCTGTTCTCTTCAGAATCCAAGACCTATCTCTGAGTCACAGAAGAACACGCGGACGAATGACATCACCCCAGCAAAGAAGAAACAGAACGCCAACGCTGGAGATATAGAGAAGTGAGTCCCCTTCCGTGGTCAGACTTGCACTGTGGTCCAATTCTCTCCTCTTCCAGAAGTGTGCACTCATTCGCTCGTGGATTTAAAAAGATTGGTGGTGTGAGAAATGGTTGAAGCTCCTACCAATCTATTGCTTGTAAATCCATAAGTGGGAATGAACAAGTGCGCACTTCTGAGAGAAGGGTGGAGAATCAAAATGCAAACCTAAATAGAAACCTTAGACGGTGTGCTAATGGCACAAATAAATAACTTGTTTGTGATTATTGTGATATGTGGTTGAAAATGTATGCACTCACTCACTGTAAGTCGCTCTGGATAAGAGCGTCTGCTAAAATGACTAAAATGTAAAATGTCTCCTACCTTAGTTTGAACGCACTTAGTGTTTGTTGCTCTGGATAATTGACTTAATTAAATATATTACCAGGGAGTGTTCTGACAATTTAATTTTGTTTCCAGGTTCTTGTCCCTTATTCCACAAAGACACGGCAGCAACTCAGAGAATAGGTCCACCTCCAGCTTCATGGCTAACAAGGTTGGGCCTCTTGTCAGTCTCCAGAATGCTCATGCAATCAGCATTTACTGAAAAACATGCTCTTCTCTAAGAATCCACATACACCTAACATGTGACTGATAAACATTATGTACATAAAGAGCCTACACAGACTTTTGCCTTTGGCCATGCTCTTGAGCCAAAAGGGGTCCAATAAATGGACAGAAATATTGCCCAGAAATTACCTAATTTAACTGAGGGGCATACCCCTCCCCACACCCATGAGAACAAAAGCAAATATTGTTTGCGTAAAATGATGGATTTTTGTGGTTTTATGAGGGGGGGAAATTCCACATTATCTCAGCCAACACTTGATGCAAAATGTGACAAACAATTAGCAACTAAACTTGAATATTGTATCTTTAACTTCTGTTTACTTTTGTGTCCAATTGAAGGAGAATATCATGCACTCGGAGAGGAAGCCTTGGTCTTCCAAAGAGCATGCAGAGCACCCGATGCCAACGCTAGACTTCTACCCGGAGAGCTGCCGCACGCCGTGTGAGGCCTCAACGTCATCAGAGAGTATGGTGTACCATCTGACCGACCCCTCGGGAACTTCACTGGCACACACACCCCACCACGGCACCCCAAGGAGAGGAGTGACCTCGGCCAAGAGGAAGAGCTGTGACATTGAGGTGCCAAACGAAGGGGAAGCAGAGGTGGTCAGTAAGCGGCTCTGTCCTTCCTCCTCGTCATCCCTCCTCTATCTGCAGCATGGAGAGGTGGCCCTAGTAGGCCAAGGGGAGAAGGCCCTGCTGCTCCAGGAGCTGGCCCAGAGAGAGGAGGTGCTCTTCTGCCGCATGCAACAGGAGCAGGAGGACCGGAAGCTGGCTTTCCATCTGCAGAGGCAGCTGAACCGCGAGGCGGCCATCCACGCAGTAGACCGCAGCAAGGGCTCCAGCGACCAGTACCAGCTCCGCCAGAAACCTGACTCCAGCTCTGGCTCCAGCCCAGAGGGGAATGGTCATAGCGGGGCCAACAGGGGGCGCTCACACTCCTCCACCTCCAAAGAGAACAGGAACACAGTGGAGAGGAGGAGACTGTCTGGGCCCTCATCTACCACCAATAAGGGGGAAAGGAGCTCCACCATCTCTAGCGCTGCTGCCACACCCTCCAGCCCACTGAAGAGGGGCAGTAAGCAGGCCACCCTCACAGAGATGTTCCCCAGTCTGGGCAGTTGAATCCTGGGTGTTTTGGAGCATGGCACTGCTCATCACCATCACCTCTTGTTAACAGGTCTCGCCTTATCGCCTATGGGGGCTCAAGTGGTCAGGATTGGAATGAAGGAATACCTTAGGGAGAAGAGGGTAGATATTGCTTGGACATTGACCGTCTGGGATTTCACTGTGGTTTGAATGCATTTCAGGGTCTTCGACAGTTTGAGTGCTCACAGGAAATGGCAGAGACTGGCTCGATCATCTTTATTTTGATAGTAGGTTCATTTTACTCAGATTGTTTTCTCTAGAGATTCATATAAATGATTACTTTGGAATAAAATAAAAACAATTGGGAAGTTATGTCTTGTCCTGTGGCGTGTATTAATGGATGCCAAAGGAAGCCAGACTTCCCCAAATATTTGACCAATAATTTTTTTTTATATATTAAATTATTTTTCTTTGGTGTGTGTTTTCAGAATTTTCCGTCAATTCGCAAGTGGCTGAATCTCACCAGAAACCATGTGTTTGTATTTGATACCATTCCACCTATTCCACTCCAGTAGTTGTTTAGTAAACTGTCAAACATGAACTTGCTTGACCATACTGCAGGTCATATAACTGCTCCAGGCTCTGTCGTAGCCGGCCGCGACCGGGAGACCCATGGGGCGGCGCACAATTGGCCCAGCGTCGTCCAGGGTATGGAAGGGAATGGCCGGCAGGGATGTAGCTCAGTTGGTAGAGCATGGTGTTTGCAACGCCAGGGTTGTGGGTTCGATTCCTAAGGGGGGCCAGTATGAAAAAATAAATAATGTATGCACTCACTAACTGTAAGTCGCTCTGGATAAGAGCATCTGCTAAATGACAAAAATTAATAAAAATAATAACTGTTTGTTACGTGCAATATTTGCTTTGTGGACTTCACCGGACAGATGTTGCTCTCGGTTTTGTGATGAAACAAACGTACAGTACAGTGCCTTATTCATCCTCGGCGTTTTTCCTATTTGTCAAATAAATTCCATGGAGGGCCTAGTGTCTGCTGGTTTTTGTTTTTAAGACTTAGACAACCAGGTGAGGGGAGTTACTTACAAATTAGTAGGGGTGTGCCAAGTAGTCGGACAAAACGAGTATCGTAACGGATATGGGACATTTTCTGGATACGATTATGATCTGAGTATTTTTTGTAATTATCCGTTATTGGAAAGAAAGTTATTTTCGGGTGCCAGCAAGCATCTTTGTCATGTCAGTCAGTCACTGAGTTTCTAAACCATACTGTGCTGCAGGGTTTCCCAACTGGTGGCCTGTGGTTGGTTTTATTTGGCCCTCCCAAGTTTTCTGAGCAATAAAATAAATAGTTGTTTTTTATTTTATTGTTGGACATAAGACTGTAAGAACACCAGGAAATCAGCACCAAGTGATTTTAATTTTGGAAATCTGTTCCCAAGTATTCCCACGCATAATACAGAGATGTGATCGTATACAAATGTGTAAAAGGTTTGAAATGATTATGTTTTAGTCAAATATTATATCTGCTTGTGCTTCTTGCGATCAATTTGCAATCTCCAAATTATTTGTAATTATGTTCCGTCCCCCCTGACCATCCGCTCAAGAAAGAAATTGGGCCGCGGCTGAATCTATACTGAACAATAAAATATAAACGCAACATGCAAAAATGTTACAGTTCACATAAGGAAATCATTCAATTGAAATACATTAATTGGCCCCTAATATGGATTTCACATGACTGGGAATACAGATACAGTGCATTTGGAAAGTATTCCGACCCCTTCACTTTTTCCATATTTTGTTCTGTTACAGCCTTATTCTAAAATTTATTAAATTGTTTTTTCCCCCTCATCAATCTACACACAATACCCCATAATGACAAAGCAAAAACAGGTGAAAATAAATATATTTACAGATATTACATTTACATAAGTATTCAGACCCTTTACTCAGTACTTCCTTTGACCTCATGGTTTGGTTTTTGCTCTGACATGCACTGTCGACTGTCGGACCTTATATAGACAGATGTGTGCCTTTCCAAATCATGTCCAATCAATTGAATTTACCACAGATGGACTCAAATCAAGTTGTAGAAACATCTCAAGGATGATCAATGGAAACAGGATGCACCTGAGCTCAATTTCGAGTCTCCTAGCAAAGGGTCTGAATACTTATGTAAATAAGGTATTTCTGTTTTCATTTTTTATACATTTGCAAAAATGTATAAAAACCTGTTTTCACTTTGTCATTATGGGGTGTTGTGTGTAGATTGATGAACAAAAATATTAATTTAATACATTTTAGAATAAAGGCTGTAACTTAACAAAATGTGGAACAAGTGAGGGGGTCTGAATACTTTCCAAATGCACTGTATATCTTTCTAATTTTGTCAAAGTCGTTTTCATCGCAAGTTAAAGCGTACTGTTAGCTAGCTAGCTAACAGCTGGCTAGCTTGCTAGCTAACGTTACGTGTATGATCTGTGTAGTAATATTATTTGTATCTCAGAAAGCAATTTGCATTGCTAGTTATAGCCTAATGTTAGCTAACTAGCTAACATTGAACCTAGTTGGTTAACTTTAGTTATCTGCAGATTCATGCATGGTAGTAGTGTAATGAGTTGGGATTATGGTTAATCATTTAGCTAGCTAGCTGGCTAGCTACATGTCTAAACAAAACATTTACATCATTACATTTTAGTCATTTAGCCACATTTTTTGCAGTATTACTTTAGTGCCTTGTTGCAAACAGGATGCATGTTTTGGAACAGTTTTATTCTGTACAGGCTTCCTTCTTTTCACTCTGTCAATTAGGTTAGTATTGTGGAGTAACTACAATGTTGTTGATCCATCCTCAGTTTTCTCCTATCACAGTCATCAAACTCTTTAACTGTTTTAAAGTCACAATTGGGCTCATGGTGAAATCCCTGAGCGGTTTCCTTCCTCTCCGGCAACTGGGTTAGCAAGGATGCCTGTATCTTTGTAGTGACTGGGTGTATTGATACACCATCCAACGTGTAATTAGTAACTTCACCATGTAATAAAGGGATATTCAATTTCAGCATTTATAATTTCACCCATCTACCAATACAGCGCCTTGCAAAATTATTCATCCCCCTTGGCGTTTTTTCCAATTTTGTTGCATTACAACCTGTAATTTAAATTGTTTTTTATTTGGATATCATGTAATGGACATACAAAATAGTCCAAATTGGTGAAGTGAAATGAAAAAAATAACTTGTTTAAAAATATATGGATTCACCCCCTTTGCTATGAAGCCCCTAAATAAGATCTGGTGCAACCAATTACCTTCAGAAGTCACATAATTAGTTAAATAAAGTCCACCTGTGTGCAATCTAAGTGTCACATGATCTGTCACATGATCTCAGTATATATACACCTGTTCTGAAAGGCCCCAGAGTCAGCAACACCACTAAGCAAGGGGCACCACCAAGCAGGTGGCACCATGAAGACCAAGGAGCTCTCCAAACAGGTCAGGGACAAAGTTGTGGAGAAGTACAAATCAGGGTTGGGTTATAAAAAAATATCTACAACTTTGAACATCCCACGGAGCACCATTAAATCCATTACAAAAAAATGGAAAGAATATGGCACCACAACAAACCTGCCAAGAGAGGGCCGCCCACCAAAACTCACAGATCAGGCAAGGAGGGCATTAATCAGAGAGGCAACAAAGAGATCAAAGATAACCCTGAAGGAGCTGCAAAGCTCCACAGCGGAGATTGGAGTATCTGTCCATAGGACCACTTGAAGCCGTACACTCCACAGAGCTGGGCTTTACGGAAGAGTGTCCAGAAAAAAAGCCATTGCTTAAAGAAGAAAATAAGCAAGCACGTTTGGTGTTCGCCAAAAGGCATGTGGGAGACTCCCCAAACATATGGAAGAAGGTACTCTGGTCAGATGAGACTACAATTGAGCTTTTTGGCCATTAAGGAAAACGCTATGTCTGGTGCAAACTGTTGTAGAAACATTTGACTAGATAATTAACTCAAAAATATCTCTCAAGACATCAGAGCCTGTGAATTTAAGAATTTAGACTTTATTTAAAAAACAAAGCCGAGCCTTTTTCCAAAGAGACAAAGACTGTCCCTTTTTCGCCAAGAGCTCAATTTTATAGCCACATGTACAAACATTCCTAACTTTTTTTTTAGTTCGTACCACCCTCTCATTCGATCATTCTATTGGCTGCATGCCTAGGCCCCTTCTCAAAAGCCCCTTCTTAAAAAACTAATGTAAATGCAAACCAGATGTCTAGAACAACCCCATGGCCTCAGTTTAAAAAACCCCTGTAAAATAACACATCATATCCTTAATGTCTATATTCATTATTTAAACATATATCTGGATTATAAAATATCAAACATGTTCATTCTGTTTCACCATTATCATTTCATAATACATTATACAACATTTATCATTCATCATCCTCTCCAGCCCCTGAGATTATGTGCATGTGGCATGTGTCAGGTCATAAGGTCATAAACATAAAGAAACGCAAACACTAGCTCCATTGTTACTTCTATCTCCACAGCCATCACGTCATTCACATTCCTAAACCAGCTGCAGAAGTTTTCATGAAAAACACATAATTATCTCTGCTCTGAATTCAACTGGCTCTCAATCCATAAACACTCCAAGGCATATAGATTTTCAATCTTACAACAGATCCATGCTTATTACTAATATTATTATTTTACCTTTGCCTACACTTGCCTTCATGATACATAAAATAACACCACATATCCCCCCTTTGGGACATTATAATATTGTCCCATCAATACAAAAATTAATCACTCATATCACAAGTATTATAACAATTAAAATAATCAATATCCATATCTTAATCAATTAATTGCCATGTCAACATCACTAAGCATTAATATTATAAGTTATTCAGATCAGTCAGTCCACTTATAATTTATAATCATAATCAAATGAATTACCCAAAACAACTTAAAATGACAATTCTTAATTAGTCACCTTTGTTCCATCATTCAAGTTAA